GTACGTTACTGTGCTGTGCAACTCTTTGAGTCTATAACCAAGCAACAGTGATTCCAGGAGAACAGGTTTACAAACCACTATTGCAAAGTAACCACTTCAAGAAGAACTAAAACATCTGGATATAATCAGTGGATCTTTACTTTTCGACTTCACCTTTTATCCATATCTCACATGGCTAAGTTTAACATCTGATATTCTGTAAAGTTATGTTTCTTTTTGCAAGCTTGGGGAATGTGCATATTAGTAGGAAATAGGAAACTGTTGTACATTTTTTAATACTTTAACCTGAGTCAGTTTTAACAATAAAGCCAACTTGTATTTAACTCATGAATACCTGTTTGGCTTGTTTTTAAACAGTACTGTACACAGACGAGTATATTCTGAATAGGAAATCCAACATCAAAAATCTGTTGCAGACAAACAAGGAGTGGGAAAACAGGGCAACGATTCTATCCCTCCTTAATTAGTCATAACACCCCATATTTCTACCAATGCCTGTACTTATAGCTTGGTGGTCACTAAAAATGATCTTTAATTGGCTGCAAGAAAGTATACGACTTGGAATGAAGTTTTATGGGATATGGTTGCCTTTAACTGAGCATTGGCACAATCTACGTTGTAATATATTGAATAAGCTACCTGCTTGTTTCCAAAAATACCTCATCCACACTGTGTTAGCCATTGCACATCAACAAACCTTTCTGCAGGTATTTAGTTTTCAAGTACTGACTTAATGATTTTTAGAAGACACTGCCATTGATACAAAAACACATTTGCCTCACATTCAATGCAAGAACTTGTCATTATAGGTTAAATGTTGGAAGTGAGACTTACCATCAAAAAGAACAATATTACTTCTTACAAATGCAGAGTTGGTCATTTCAAAATGAGCAAGACTGAATTTTTTTTAGCTTATACAAATAGTGTTACAAGGAAACATTTGAACAAATAGATTGCTCAATAGCTGAACAGCAATCTAAAGAATTCCATGCTGTAGTACAGTTTTCAAAAACTGAACTGACATTTCTTGTACAGGGGAATTTACCTGCAATTCCTATCCACTACTCAGAAAAATATAAAATGCATAAATAAATGCTAAAGCATAAAATTCTAGATGTGCTGCTTCAACAAAAACAACTTCATACCCACACTGTCGACCATAGGGATAATTTATACTCTACGTCATCATAGAATCCCTATAGTGTGGGAACAGGCCCTTCAGCCCAACAAGTCCACACTGACCTTCAGAGCATCCACCCATACCCATCCCCCTATAACCCACCTAATCTACACATCCCTGAACACTACGGGTGATTTAGCATGGCCAATCCACCTAACCTACACATCTTTGGACAGTGGGAGGAAACCGGAGCACCCAGAGGAAATTCACGCAGACACAGGGAGAATGTGCAAACTCCATACAGAAGTCAGCCACGGCTGGAATTGAACCTGGGTTCTCTAACTGTGAGGCAGCAGTGCTAACCACTGAGCCACTGGGCCACTTGGGCAGTTCATCTGCTGTAGGTTAAACTGCTGGATTACAGTGCAATTTTCATGGAACTATTTTGTAATCCAATTTCTAAAATAGCTGATAGTTTTAAAATAGCAGATGCCATTACTTAATGCATCACCAATCATACATTCCTTCAAAAATACATTAAAACATTATAACTCTGCCCCTTTGTGAATAACATATCACCACCAAACAAACATGTTAGATTATTCAACATTGCGAAGTCAAACAATGTAGGAGAAAAAGCAAAATAACAAAGATCAGCAGTTCTGGCAGCATCTGAGAAGGAAAAGACATAGTTAACGTTTCGGGTCTGGTGACCCTTCCTCAGAACTGATGGTGGCTGGGAAAACCTCCCTATTTTCTGCATATAAACTGGCGTTTTCTCAGCCACCATCAGTTCTGAGGAAGGGTCACTGGACCCAAAACGTTAACTCTGTCTTTTCCTTCACAGATGCTGCCAGACCTGCTCCAGCAGCTTTGTTTTTGTTCCTGATTTACAGCATCCGCAGATCTTTTGGTTTTTTCACAATACTTCTGTATGCTGAGTGCCACTTGGAAAAACTAGGGAATACAATAAAAGGACAAAATTTACTCGAATGGACTTCCATGTCCATTTAAAGGTGCGGCTTGATCGCAAAACTACTGAGAAAGCTGGCAGAATGCTGAACGACTTATTTGCCAGACGGGAATTGAGACACTTGAGGATAGAACCAACGAGAGGGGATGACTTATTTCACTTCATTCTACAAACCAATCTAACACAAATTCAGCTGTCTAGACATTGTTGATAGGAGTGACTGCCACAACACACTTGTAGAATCTAAGTCCAATTTTCATATTGAAGATACCCTCTACAGTGAGCTGTGACACTATCACCATGCTTCAGCATCACTATAGCCATCAGAAGTAACAAAACTGTATTCTACTACAACCTCTAACCTCATAGTCTATAATATCCTTCATTCTAGCATTACTAACAAGCCATGGGATCAACTCAGATTCAATGAAGAGAATAGCAGAGCATCACATGAGCAGCACCAGGAATACACATAAGCAGCACCAGGAATACCAAAAATGAGATGTCAACCTGATGAAGTTACAACACTGGACTATGTACTTCAGACAAAACTAAGGGATCTCACAACAAATTGGATCAAAGCTCTACAGTTCTGCTACTTACTATCATGTCTGGTGGTGGGCATTTAGACAGCTAAAATGAACATACACTACCACCCCCACCCAACCCACCACCTCCACATCAATTGAATGGAGGAGCTCAGCACCTCAGGGAAAAAGACAACACTGAAGAATTTGTAGGCATTTTTGTCAGTGGTGCCAGGTAGATGATCCGTCATGGCCTCCCCAGCGTCACCTTTGCCAGCTTGATACCCTCTAACCTTAGCAAGAAAAGGTAGAGTGAAATGGATCCAATAACGTGACAAAAATGACAAACCTCTGGCTGCAGTGCTGAAGACTTGTTCTCCAAAACTAGAAATGTTCTTAACCATATTACTCCACGACAACTGCAATGTTTCCATCTACTCAAAAAAGTGGAAAATTGTGCAAAAATGGCATATTCACAAAGAGGAGGACAAAACCAACTGCCATCAGTAAACCTGCAATCAAAGTGAAGGAAGTTACTTATCAATAATTGGCTCATCAATTCTCAGCATAGGATTTGCCAGGACCACTTGGCTCTAGGCCTTATTAAATCATTGTTAGAATGAGTGTCCTTGTCTCATGATAACATTTAACTCAGCACAGAATTATGGAGCTTCAGCCAACCGTCAGTCCCTCTTCTATGGCTATGCTCAAGTCTAGGTGTCCTTGGAGAGGGAGCCTGCGGTGTCCACCAATGCTCTTGATGCCTTTAGGGAGAGGTGGGCACCGCAAGGGGTGGAGTGCTTTATTTCCCCCTCCAACTTTATTTTGATTTAATCCCTACCTTCCCCGTTCACTTTTATCACGTAAGCATTGCCTCTACCAGGCCTTGCTTGTTACTGGTTGCCTGGTCACATGAGTGTTTTTCCTGGTGGTGGAAATATTGAATAAAATTATTTGCACAAATGCTGTCTTCACTGAATCCCTGCACTTACACACACACAACACAGGCGCTGAGGGGGAAGATAAGCATTGCTGCTGTATAGCAGTAGTGTGGGGTAACAAACAAAAACAAAATTATGGAGCCTATTAAACTGATGTCAGTAGGAATCAGGGAAGCACTTTACACCGGACAGATCATATTCAGGTTATTGAGTTGGATGGTCAGCCATGATCATAATGAATGGCAAAGCAGGCTCAAAACGTTGAGTGGCATATTCCTGCTTCTATTTTCTAAGTGAAATGTGTGTTGTTGTTAGAGGCTAATTGTTACTGGCAGCAATGCAGCGGTAATGTCTACTGGACTAGGAATGCAGAACCAGGTGTGGGCTACTAAGTAGCATTTGCACTGCATTGGTGCCAGACAATGGCCGTCTCACCAACAAGTCAGAATCTAACCATCTCTACTTGATGTTCATTGATGTTACATCCCATCATCAACATCCTAGGGTTTACCATTGACCAGAAACTTAACTAGATTACACAAAATAATACTGTGTCTACAAAAGCAGGTCAGAGATTGGGGATAACACAGTGTGGAGCTGGAGGAACGCAGCAGGCCAGGCAGCATCAAGGGGGCAGGAAAGTTGATGTTTCAGATCAGGACCCTTTTTCAGAAATTGTGTCTTTAGTAAGTAAAATCCTGACTCCTTAAAGCCTTTCCACCTACTGGATGACATAAATCCGGAACATGCTGGAATCCTCCCCAGTTGCCTGAATGGTACAGCTCTGATAACACTCAAGTAGTTTGATGCCATTCCCTGCCCCCCAGGACAAAGCAGCCTACTGCCACATCAACAATCTCTCCTTTCACCATTGACAGACAATGGTACCAGTGTATACCATTTACAAAAGGCACTGCAACAATGCCTTAGGGAACACCTAAACCTGCAAGCTCTAGCACCTAGAAGAACAAAAGAAACAGACAAGTGGGAACACCACTATCTCCAAATTCCCTTCCTAAATCCCACACCATCCAAATTTTGAAGAACATCATTGCTCCTTAATCATCACTGGGTCAAGATCTTGAAGCTCTCACACCAACAGTAATGTGGCTGTACCTAAATCAAGTTGTGCACAAAAATGTGGCTCACCACGGTCTTCATAATTAGAATGGGTAGCAAATGCTGGTCTTGCCAAAGATGTCCACATTCCAACAACAAAAAAAGTGAAATCACATAAACAAAAAAGAAAATCTTGAGACTGGAAGTCTACTCTACGTTTTGAATAAAAAAGGTAATTTCACACTTCGTAATTTCACATTACGGTTCACACAATGATAGGCTATGAGCCTGAAGCCTTAAAACCACAAACATTGATGAATGGAATTAACAGTTTCGACCCGCTGACGGCAATGTTTCCAATGATTCCTATTTCTACATACTCATCCCGTTCCAGATCCTGGTTTGTAAGGATGTTTGTGCCGCTGGGTGCGTAATCCCATGTTTCTTCTTTGACTGCGATATAATAATTTCGAGTGATAGAGTTTGCGAACTCGGAAAGACTGAGGATTAGGAGAATATGAACCGGACTCATTTTGTAACTGATACTTCGTTCTGTGAGCAAATTTTGCTTGATGTTAAACAGACTTCAGATTAAGTTCTGACCCCATTTTTCACGTCAGCACGTCACGTGGCTCACTGGAAATACCAAAAAAAACTGACTGCAACTTTTCGAAGGTGCCCAGCCAATCACAGGCTCAGCAGAAAAGTGGAATGTGTGAAACAGTGTTAGCTGAACTGTGATTTAATTTCAGTGAAACCACAGTTTCCTGTAGGGCAATCTTGTTTATGATATGTAATTCATTACTGCGATTATTTTTATTTCTGGATAAAACGTAAGCAAACAATTTTCGCGGAGACATTGTGAATTTTGTATTTTTACATTGATGAAAAAAAATTAAAGCTCGAAGTGTTGATATTTTCCCCTTCCAAAATGCACTAGCACTGAACGAAAACAAAATGCAAAATTTAAACGAGGTCATGTCACCACAATTTCAACATGTAAATACAAACATCTTCATACAATCACTGACACTATACGGCCAATCGATGATTCTGTTCTCTCCAGCTGATGGCACCAGGGAAAAACTCGAAGACGAGAGGTTCAATGCGATGCAGACACCAATACATCAATTCAGATGGCTGCAAAAAAAAAGTTTTACTGTTAATTATCTCCAAAGTCATTATAATCTGTTAGTGTGTGTAATCTGTTACAGGTTACGTAGCCTTGTCCTGCAAAGGCACAGAACTGTGACACAAGCAGAAGAAGAAATTCAACTACAAGTAGGGAAGAAACGAAGCAGGAGAACGAGAGAATTACAAAATAAGGAGGATAAAGATTTGGATAAGCGCTACGAAGAGGCCTCAAGTTTCATTTCTCGCGCTATTGAGGCAAACAATCGCCATGGTTTTCTTCTCGTTCGGCGTCAGCAGTCACCGGTTGCATAGGTTGTCTCTGATGCGCTGACTCCAGCAAGCAGCTGAATTTGGTGTCAAGTTTTGAAATTCTTGAAATACAGAATTGGTAAAAGTGATACGGAAATTGTCAGATCGTCATTAAAGCCAACTGTTTTATGAAAAACCAAAGAACTGCGAATGCTGGAAATCAAACAAACACAGAATCTGCTCGAAAATCTCATCAGGTCTGGCAGCATCCGTGGAAAGAAAGCAGAATCATTTTATGTGCTATGAATGCCTTTTAGTGACAAAAACGTGCTGTCCTTGCTTAGTCTGGCCCTTGTGACTTCAAATCTATAGAAACACGATTAACACTTAACCACCTGAGAAGTGGACCAACAAATGTCTTTGGTTGCTTTAAAATTATAGAAGTGATAACAAGCAGTTGCATTTGTAGCAATTGTAACAAGGTTAGTCTGGTGGACTTCATAGAATATGATTTCCCTGGTTGGGGCTGATAATTTGGTCCAATTAGGGAGCCCTGGCTGATATATAAACAGGAATTCAGAGGTTTTGTTCACTGTAACAGCTGGCTTAGAGTCAAGGGCTCTCTATGTGTAAATAAAGGGTGACTTGGTGATGGGATATCAGCCTCTGTGAACTTATTTCAGTGGTGATGAGAGAAAAGCATGCCCCTGAAGAAATCTGCTCACAACAGTCACCTTTGAATTGGGGTAAGCATTTCTGGCATCATGCTATTATTTGGGAAGCTTGACTTGATCAAGCCTGCCATTGAAGACTGGGCTCAATATTTGGAAAGAATGTTACTTTTTTCCAGGCAAATGACATTGGGGTAGATGAAAAGCAATAAGTAAGTCTTGTGACAGCTTGTGAACCTGTGGCATTTTTGGTTGTTAGTAGCCTAACTTTATCTGAAGCATCAGATACTAAAGCCTTTCAAGAGTTGATGGATTTGGTTAAGAAATAATACAACCCCTATGCCTCTAATTCTAAGGTGCTATCAGTTTTACTCAAATTTGACAACCAGGGGAATTCAAATCAGGATTTTTGACTAGCTTATAGATGACTGGCAGAGGCATGTGACTTTGGTTTGACCACTAATGAAATGCTGAAATGTGGGATTCATGATTATAACCATGCAAAAGCACCTACTAACTGAAGCCCAACTGGACTTCAAACAGGCACTACAACTGGCTCCATTGGAAAATATGGCAATTGGAGCATATTATTTGCAGGGTATTCCAATGGAAGTGGACACCCTTGCCAGGCTCAGTAAGCTTAGAGAATACCACTTGAGTGAAGGCAATTGCATATCTTCACTCAGGACATACCCTGAACAGAGGGACTCTAGGTCAGCCTACAACAAAACCCAAAACAAAGCCAAGCGTCAGCTAAAAGGTTAAAATTTTCTTCAGGATCTGGGCTGGCAAACCATTGTAGTTGCTGCCAGTATATGGACCCAAGATAGCAAAAGTGTCCCACTAGATCTAAATTAAGAGAATTTGTGCTGGTGTCCAGGAGAGTGCACACCCTGGAAATTCAACCTACACCTGGTCTGAAACAGTTAAATTGCTTAGCAACATCCAAATCAGAACCAATCAAAATAAACATCTGTTTAAATGGTCACCTGGTTCTAATGGACATTGATTCTGGTACAGCCATTTCAGTGATCAAAGAACCAGTATTTTACAAAATTTGTTCTAGACTCCAACCCTTATGTTTGTGCAAGACTTTGACTAGACTGAGAACCTGTATTGGGAAACCTTTACAGATTAAGGTTATGACTTCAGTTCTGGTCTCTTATGAGATGCAGCTAGTTCAGTTACCACTGATTATAGTAAAAGGCTCAGGCCCAAGTTTGATGGTTGAGAAAGATTCATCTAGATTGACAACACTTTTCAGTTATAAAATGGTTGCCTGAGTGAAATCCTAATTGAATGCCCGGAGATTTTTCAGGAAGGCTGAGGAACTGTCAAAGGAGCAAAGGCTGCCTTGTGCATTGACCAGGAAGCAATTCCACAATTCTGCAAGGGCCTCCCAGTGCCACTTGTCTTACAGGCAAAAATAGAGGCAGCAATCAACAGGCTGGAAAGTGAAGGAATCATCAAACCAGACCAGTTTGCAGAATGGGCAGCACCTGTCTTGCTGACTGTGATGCCCAATGGGTAAGTTCTGCTTTGTGGGCATTTTAAACAAACTGTAAGCAACTTTTTTGTATCTGGATAAATACCTAATCCCTTGCATAGAGGACTTGTATGCAGAACTAGTGGGGGTGCTGTCCTTCATGTGTAGCTCCTTTCATGACAATGTACAAGGCTGGAAAGTCAATCATCTCAGCTTCAAGAAATATCCACAGGTGTACCCCAGGATAATGTCCTAGGCAATACTCTCTTTAATCTTAGTGCTCAAGCCTCCGAGGTCCATGTGCAGTAATGACTTTCAACACCAGAAGTCAATATGTCCACAAGCTAATCATTGCCAATCAGTGTGCATGAAATTTCAGAGGAACTTCAGAGTGGCTGAGGTGCCATACAGCTTAGAGATAAGTGGTCCCAGGCCCAACTATCTTCAGCTGCTTTATCAAAGATCTTCCTTCCATCATAAGACCAGAGTGGAGATGTTTGCTTACAACTCATTAGAAACAGGAGCAGTTCATGACAAAATGCAGCAAGACATGCTGGCAAGAGTCAAGTAACATTTATCCACATAAGCATCAGGCAATGACCATCCCCAAGAAGAGAGAATCTAATAATTGCGCTTTGATTTTCGATGCTGTTACCATCACTGACTTCCCCCACCAATAATAACCTACAGGTTACCATTGACCAGAAACTGAATTATATAAGCCATATAAATAGTTGTCACAAGAGCAGGTCAATTACTAGAAATTCTACAACAAAAGACTCATTTGTTGACTTCCCAGAGCTTGTCCACTATCTACAAGGGACAGGTCAGGAATGTGTTGGAATACTCCCCATTTGCCTGGATGAGTGCAGCTCCAACAACACCCAAGCTTGACACACTCCAGCACAAAGCAGCCCATTTGATTGGCACCACATCCACTCTCTCCACCACTGATGCTCAGTAGCTGCAGAGTTTACCATCTGCAAGATTTACTGCAGAAATTCAAACGTCCTTAGATAGCATCTTTCAAACCAACAACCACTTCCACCTAGAAGGACAAGGGCAGCAGATACATGGGAACACCACCACCTGCAAGTTCCTCTCCAAGCCACTCATGAAATATACTGCCATTTCTTCACTGTCGCTGGGTCAAAATCCTAGAATTCTCTCCATAATAGTATTGCTGGTCTATGTATAGCATGTGGTCTTTAGCGGTTCAAGATGACTTCATTATAGGGAATGATGTGGAAGCTTTAGAGAGGGTGCAGAGGAACTTTACCAGGATGCTGCCTGGATTGGAGGGCAGGTCTTAGGAGGAAAGGTTGAGGGAGCGAGAGCTTTTCTGATTGGAGTGAAGAAGGATGAGGGGTGACTTGATAGAGGTGTACAAAATGATGAGAGGCATTGATAAAGTGGGTAGCCAGAGACTTTTTCCAAGGGCAGAAATGACTACTATGAGGGGGCATAATTTTAAGGTGATTGGAGGAAGGTATAGGGGAGATGTCAGAGGTAGGTTCTTTACAGAGTGGTGGGTGCATGGAATGCGCTGCCGGTGGTGGTAGTGGAGTTAGGTACATTAAGGAGATTCAAGTGACTCTTGGATAGGCACATGGATGATAGTAAAATGAAGGGTATGCAGAGTAGTTTGATCAACATCGTGGGCTGAAGGGCCTGTACTGTTCTATGTTCTATTGCAGCTCACCGCCACATTCAAGGGCAACTAGGGATGGAGAATAAATGCTGGCCAGCTAGCGATGCTCACATCCTATGAGTAAATCATAAGAGAACAGCAATATAATAATGAGATAACAAGATGTAGAGCTGGATGAACACAGCAGGCCAAGCAGCATCAGAGGAGCAGGAAAACTGACATTTCGGGCCTAGACCCTTCTTTAGAAATGGGGGAGGGGAAGGGGATTCTGAAATAAATAGGGAGAGAGGGGGAGGCGGATAAAGATGGATAAAGGAGAAGATAGGTGGAGAGAAGACAGACAGGTCAAAGAGGCAGGGGTAGAGCCAGTAAAGGTGTGTAGGTGGGGAGTTAGGGAGGGGATAGGTCAGTCCAGGGAGGATGGACAGGTC